ATTACATTTTTTCCAAATCAAATTCATCACTGCCAATTAATCTACTCTTGTACTGAATTAACACAGCTAGGGCATTCAATTAAATCCTTGAGAGTATAGTTTTGACTCTTCACAAAAATGACATTTGATTCCTGCGTCTGAAGGGAAATGTTGATTTAACATACATTTGGATCCTGTATTACCCATGAAATTACAAAATCTTAAGGGTCAAATGCATGCACAGTAACACTAGAACAAAAAACACGGTAAAACAGAAAACTATTTAAATCAAACAATGAACAAAACATTGAAAACAATTCATTAAAGCCTCTCTATGTTTTTGTAACATAAAACTTATGACAAAATTACCAATATATGATAAATGATAGAATAATAACCCTAATGACGATATGATATGAGAATAAATATCATAGTTTTCCATAATTGCAATTAAGACTGGGAAACTCCACTCTGATAACAGGAATCCACATTTGCAGTGCACAGCTAGCTCTATATGTAAATTACCCGTAGAAACTATGTCAAACATTCATGTGCAGATGGGTTTGATTTGAAGAATGACGGACTTGCGATCAAAGCCACAACTCAGACGAACAAAATTGGACGTCCTTACTGATGCTGCGAAGGCAAAGAAAACAGAATGGACACAAGCACAGCATTATCTGCGAATTACATAATCGATGTGGGTCCATTGGACAAAATTAAAGGAAGAAGTTAATGTGAAAAGCCACGATGAATTGGCGGCGACACTTCTGGACATTTGTAAACAAACACCATGTGCAGTTCGCTATTTACTTTCAACTTTCTCTCGTAATAGCGTACGTTTTGTAAACTTTTTAATGAAGCGCACAATTTTGTTTAAGCAATAAGTTTATTATTTTATAATAAACCTTTGTGTCCTGTACTTTACATTGTACAATAACGAATAACTCACCGCCTGCTCAAAACTTCTCTCCCTGTCATCTATGTCTTTCTGTTTACCATCACGGGATGTAAAATCGGCGAGCACATATTACGTATTTTTAGATACACAAATTGACCAGGTCTATTTTTAGATATTTCTTACATATTTTACTTATTGATAACTACGTAACAGTTCAGGTTTGAGGGAAATTAAAATATGAAAACTCCATTGAGGATGATGAAGTTTTGTTTGAAAAAGTTTTATTTGTACATGCATAAATAAAAACATAGAGAGGCTTTAACAAAATTATATATACTTAGGCCTATGTGTTCCCAATCGTGGTCCTTGAGCTCCACGTCAGTTATTTTAATGGTGTATCTAGAGTTTCAATATACATAACATAAAACTTCAACATATCAGGATAGGCTCACCCACAAAGATCTGACCTCAATGGGGAGCCATGGAAGTAAGTTTAATTAAGCAATGAAAATATTGTAATTCATATGGCACTCCAGTTTTTCCTATGCTTGAACAAAATCAATTCACCAGAAAAAAAGATGAAATCTAATTAGTTATTCCCTTTAAAAGTTAATATATCAAGCAAATAAAAGGTTTAAAATGAAACTTTATGTTTTAATAAATACTTACGTTGTATCATCAGATTGAGAGTACACATTCACCATATCATCTTCGTACCCCATAAATTCCACTGGCCACCTAATATTATTTGGTAACCCTTTGAGTTTCACCCACACATACGTCCGCTTAGTGTTTGCGGCTGCCATGATTGCACTCTGCAATGTCAAAGGTACTGAGATAAGTGAGAGAAGTACAAAGGTGACTTATATATCCTTATTGCCCACCATTTGCATAATTACATTCAAACCTTGTTTCAAACCTTTCTTAATTAACCTCAATTTTGGTCAAACATGCAATAACTGAAGATTCATTAATGATCTTAAAATTTTATATCAGAAAATCTGGCAGAAATCACGACCAAAAGTAATGAGACTAATTTGTCCATAATTATGTGGTACTATCGAAGGTCCTTTCATGGTTATCAAATTGGTCTATATCAGAAAATCTGGCAGAAATCACGACCAAAAATAATGTGACTAAATTGTCCATAATTATGTGGTACTATCGAAGGTCCTTTCATGGTCATCATTTTGTACTATATCAGAAAATCTGGCAGAAATCACGACCAACAATAATGTGACTAATTTGTCCATAATTATGTGACACTATTGAAAGTCCTTTCACGATGAATAAATTGAATACAGTACCGGGTACAATTGTACTCGAAAATCTGGCAGAAATCCGACCAAAAATAATGTGACTTATTTGTCTATAATTATACCACTGAATGGTTTTTTCAGTCACTTGAGTCATGAAATATATGGCATATCATAACATTGTATCAGAAATTAAGAGAGAAATTAAAGCAAAAAGATAATAAGACTATGTATACTATGTCCATTATTATAATAGGCGACTACATTGAAAAGTCTGTCATGGTCCCAAATTTTTTTTCTTCGCATTTTGCGATATGGCGACTGTTGAACCCTGTTTTTCAAAAAATCAGGCCAAAAATAATGTACACAACTGATATTAATATATATATATAATCACATAACTAATGTGACATTTTTGAAGGTTATACTGGAAAAAAATCAGAAAACTGGACAAATTATAGTAAAAAGTAATGACTTTTACCAATAATCATGTCCATAATATACACATGTACAATTCATAATATTTGCCACTACTATCATTAAATAATAGCACATATGATGATCAGAAAGCCTCTCCCCCCAAGCTAATAACTATTGACAATTTCACAAATTTTGAACATTATTATATATAGAAAGAAGCAGTGTTTTTGCTACCTTGAATTTACAGCAACCTATGCCTTATTGAATTAGGGCAAACAAAATCACTGATAAGAGACTTTATGCATTTCCTTTACAATGATAGTTTGAAGTTTAAATTCATTTAGACATCTTTCATTGATGTATCTTAATTATACTAGAATGTCTTGAAGCAACTGGAAAATAGATTATATAAGAAGTTATGTAGGGACAGGGGAATTACCATGCTATAATTAGGTGCAACATAAGTTCATACCTCCAACTCACTTCTTCGGACAATTTCGGCTACAAATCAGCTGCTTTTTGTATAAATATGCACACCAGTCACAACATATACATGTATACTAGTGTGCTTGGAGTTGATATATTATATAAAGTCTCAAATATACAAAAAATAAAAGATTTTTCATGAATCGAATCGATACTCACCTTTAAAATAGATAGGAAGGACATCATATATTTATTCAATTTCTCCATCAATGATATTAATAACTTTATATTTGAATCCAAGATTTGTTGAGTAAGTCGAAAATCCAAGGATGGCATTGGAATCAAAGAAATACACACATTTTTTGACATAGTCTTCGATGCAATCAAGTCTTTTAAAATAGCAGTAGTTTAGTGCACTGACCAATTCTGAAAGTTTTTGAAACTCGCAATATCCTATACATTGTGTTGGTAGATTCTGTTCCGCCATAACGAATCTATAAAATTGGTAACAATGAGACTAATAAAGGAAGAACATTTGTTTTCGCCTGTAAACCTCTGAAATTAAACCTAAATGAACAATTTGTGGAAGTAAGTTGTAAGCCTTGTCTGAGAATCCTTGTGCGATCACAATGCAGAGGTGTAAACCTTTTTTAGGACTCTAGCCAAAAGGCCCTAGTTATTCACTAGCCCTATATTAATTAAATTCTGCAAGCACAAAATTTATTGAAAGTATCAATTCAGCTCACACTGATTGATTGATTGTATTGCTAAACGTCCCATTGAAAATTACTGATTTACGGCCAACAGCTCAGATACCACAGTATATTACTGTAAGTCAATCACAAATGGACAAATCGATGAAATGCTTTTACTTTAAAATTACAACTTTATTTAAAATTTAATGATGAATTGCAAGTTTAAATTAATGTCTTTAAATTTCATAAATCTTAAAAAAGAACATATTTTTCACTGCTCCTTACAATCAGTCCGTATATTTTTTTCATTATTAGAAAGCCGCCTTAGTATAGAAAGCATAAAAAAAACATGGCGGACAAGCTGGACAGATTGATGCAAATTTTTGGGATTATCTGCACTTTAATTTCTGTACCCCATATGCTTATGTCAAATGAAAGAGAATGATTTCAAATACGTAGGGCCATTTTTGGGTCAGTATTGACTTTCAATGTTATTTATGCTGCGAAAAGTCTATCGTCGGTTCCAGCGTGAATCCATGTGTTTTGTTAGATATTGCCGTAATTTATCTATAGGTTTAAGATGTTAATTGGTCAATATATTGATGATAAGATTGATTAAAAGAATCTAGGAGTTATATTATCATAACAGTGATGTCATGAACGCTAAGCTCTCAAACAGTATCCAAACGAAAAACCAAAAGGCCTATCATTTTCGAAGTCCGAAAAGTTTCTGATGACGGCCCTCTGATGAAATCACTTCGTTCGCCTTTTGGCGATTTGATGTAAATCTTGATCACCGTCAACATCGCGAAGGTGCTTAATATAATCACATTATTTAAGGTATCTTTCGTCACATAATTAAAGGTTCAATCGGGTGTTACTTCATAAAAAAAATACAGCTAAACTTACCTTTGCATCTCATCTGCCGCCCGCCTGAAACTTGTGCGCAGGTTCCGGAAGTGCTATATAAAATCCGCGTCAAGAGAACCCTTGACACAAGAGGCGGCTAACCAAATACGGGAGTACGGTAAATGGAACAAGGGAGATAACCCCTACAATATGCGATACGGACGTCTAAAATATGGGGAAAAAATGTCTGTAAAATTATGTGACGGATCTCTGATTTTTGTGTGTGTCACATAACAACCATTTCTACGCACTTTAACACTAATATCCTATGTGACTGTCACACAATTCTGAAAGGTCACATAACTGTGATATGGGCACAAATTCGGTCACATTACTACTATTTCGTGTGAACATCTGAACTTGCCGCCATCTTGCCGGGTATCCCATTTATATTTAACAGACATGTTATGTACTATTTTCATTTTTGTTATGATATGTTTAACAGATTTGTCAAATATTTTACAGATCTTTAAAAGGATAGTTTACGTTATGTTTCATCATATTTTATAGCTGTGGTTATCATAAAATATTTTACAGACATTTAATGCAATTTTTCACAGGAATGTTACATGCTATTTTACATTCATATTCCGTTATATTTAATAAGTATGTTATATAATACACCACAGGTTATGATTGATCCTGCGGTTAACATACATGAACATTAATGTTTTAAAACAATAAGAAACACGTTTTTTTCCAAACCTATATTAATCACTCTTGTGAGCCTGGAAGCGCGCAGGGGGTCTTAATGTGGGAGGAAACCGAACGAGCAGGTGACCAAAGACCCGGCCCTCTTGGTAAAATGTGAATGCGCTATCAACTGCGCCAGCCAACCATCCGATTCTGATTCTCCTTTCCTCGTTACTGAAGATGTATCATTTGTGACTGTAATTTATAGGGTTATAGGTAAAAAAATATCACAACATTCATGCCATTTCTAGCCACCAAGTTGACGGTGAGTAAGCTGTGTCTTCCAAATGTAGATCACAACGTATACTATGAGATAACCTGAGGAAATTTGACAATAATGTCAATTTAAGTAATTCATATTGTAAAATGATAATAAGTCTACTATATTCATAATGCAACAATGATAGCTATTGTTCGAAAATTCTTTCACTTCTGCGAACAGCACATTTCCTACTGAGGAAAAATGACTAAAAACACAATGTCTGTTTCTTGCAATATTATTTTGAGTTCAAACAAAATTCTTCGGTTTGGTATAAAGCTGTCAATCTGATTGACAATAAACTTAAACATTCTAGGTTAAATTAATTATGTGTGATTTAAAACAGCAACATTTCCCCCCTTGGTTTATTAGATCAGATACCATGTAAAATTGTAACGGTCTTAATTTTAGCAAGTATCTTACAGCTAAGATTGGCTAAGCATTCGAAGGGAGATTACTCATACTAAGGAACACCAGCCTATTATGTAGAGAGATTTGCAGCTAGTTTGCAAATGATTTCAAAGTAATCGAGCGGTTTTGGTTGGGAGCCATGCCGAACAAGTCGTTTTCAAAATGAAGAAGTTCGAACATACGATACATTTTAAGATTTTTTTGTAAAACAGACAAACTTGTTTTGAAAAATATCTTCATTTAGAACTTGCACGGCGACTTTAGAAAATACTAAATTACGTTCTGTGTGGTGTTTCTTGTATGACGTGCTTCTATACACTACAGTTTCATATTCCGAAATAAAGTTACTCCTTCGGTTGCGATTACCGAAAATATACTTAGGTTCCAATATACTTTTTCTTTCTATATGACTTAGTAATTATGGAATGAAAGGGTGGAATGATGTCGTTTTGGCAGCGAACTTTTGGTAAAAATGACACCCCAATGATCATATATATACGAGAACGGCGGAAAGCTCTCGATGTCGAAAATTCGACCCACCTAACGTTCTTGCATCAAAACAACATTTCTAGTTGATGTGAGGAAAAATGTTTAGTACTGTTCGAGAGATGGATAGTATTTCTTTTAAAAACCTCCTATACGCACGTTAAATGTATTCTCCTTCCGCGGACATTATCTCGATTTCCTCCAAAAACAAACGTCATTTCCGAGTATCAAAGTTTTTCACAGTCATCGTGCCACTTTTTTGTATATTAATGAAGTTGACCTCAGCCACGTGCCGAACCCGTAGTGTGATTGGTTGGAAGCGTAGGCATTTTTTCGCTTAACAAACCAACACTGCATGTTTCGGCACGAGGCTGACGTCAACCTCATTAATATACAAAAAGTGGCACGATGACTGCGAAAAAATTTGAAACTCGGAAATGGCGTGTGTTAGGTAGGCGGACTTTTCGACACCGAGATTGGGGTGTCATTTTTACCAAAAGTCGATCTAAACCCCTAAAACATGTAAACTTACTATGAACACCTTAGTTTAGGTCCAAATATAACTGTAACAAATTCTCAGGTCCCTGTGGTTCAGATACCGTGCAAATGCAAAGAAGGGAAAACGAGCGCTGCCAAGTAGTACTGAAGCCTGTCAAAAGAGCGTCCAAGTGATGAGTTGAATCATGATAATGCTTCATCTCACAAAAACAATATTGTACAGACGCTTTTGAAGCAAGAGAACTTAGCACAGATTGAGCACCAGGTCTATGTGACNCTAGGGGCTGTATATCCACCCGAAATGTCAACGAGAGAGCGGCTAGGGGCTGTATATCCACCCGAAATGTCAACGAGAGAGCGGCTAGGGGCTGTATATCCACCCGAAATGTCAACGAGAGAGCGGCTAGGGGCTGTATATCCACCCGAAATGTCAACGAGAGAGCGGCTAGGGGCTGTATATCCACCCGAAATGTCAACGAGAGAGCGGCTAGGGGCTGTATATCCACCCGAAATGTCAACGAGAGAGCGGCTAGGGGCTGTATATCCACCCGAAATGTCAACGAGAGAGCGGCTAGGGGCTGTATATCCACCCGAAATGTCAACGAGAGAGCGGCTAGGGGCTGTATATCCACCCGAAAGTTCAACGAGAGAGCGGCTTGGGGCTGTATATCCACCCGGATGTAAGCCTGTTTTGTTAATGGATAAATTATTTTTGGTTGAACTTTGACGACCCCTGCCCAAAATCTAAAATATTTTCCCTCTCCCCATGATCGACACATTAAGGTGGCTTCTTATTACAAGTGAACAATAGGGAGTTGCTCACGTTATGCTAACTAGTGTGATGTCAATAAAATACATTTGTTTGTGTTTATGTTGCGTTTGACAAAGAATTAGACGATGTGGTGAGGTAGGTCTGACATGTTTACAGATGTGAACACCACGCCTAGGTGTGCAATGTAATGATAGCTGTGGTTTGGTTGACGCCTCGTATGAATACTAAATGAAGCGACGTGCATACTAATGCAGTATGTGGTGTAAGGGTCTAATTAGTGTCCCAGACACTTGTGCTCGACAAAGATGTGAAATATGATTAATAACATTGCAATATAGCTAGTCTGCGTCTCAAACATTCCTCTTTTGGTTACTAATTTGACGGGAATTTCATATAATTATTTAGCAAGGAAAATTGTTTAACCCCGTACAACTTTTTTTACAAGATGAGTTAGGTTCTGCTGCAGCAAAAGCCCACTTTCAGTCCAGGAATATATATCTATATTTTTAATATATTGATGTATTGAATATAAGATAAAATGTCTAACGATGTACAAGCCCCTAACATTTGATAAATCATTTAGCATGAATTCCCACTACAGGTGAGGAGTTACTCTTACTGAAAAAACCCGGCTGTTGATACCACGTCTATTCTGTGAATATCGGCGTTTATATATTATATAAGCAATATAGTGTTTAAGCAATGAAATATGTTCATATCACATTAGTCATAATGCAAAAATAAAATGCACACACCTCAACTTGACAACTAAAACATTGAATAAATCATAATTTAGTGACCCAAGCTGCAAACAAGGGTGTTTATCATGTGTGGTTCTCTCAACCAAATACAAACGCCGGTGATATAACCAGGACTTGTGTGCATTATTCAAAGCACATGTTGGACACATGCACCAAAGGTAGACTTATTGTCTTGTCAACGAAATCAGGTAAGTCGCTGTGGATAAATTCCATTTGGATTGAAGTACATAGCTATACTGATATCACGTGTCTGATTGGTGTTTTACTATATCTGAGGTACAAAAGCTGTACTGATATCACGTGTCTGATTTGTGTTTTACTATATCTGAGGTACAATAGCTGTACATATATCACGTGTCTGTTGGTGTTTTACTATATCTGAGGTACAAAAGCTGTACTGATATCACGTGTCTGATTTGTGTTTTACTATATCTGAGGTACAATGGCTATACTGATATCACGTGTCTGATTGGTGTTTACTATATGTGAGGTACAAAAGCTGTACTGATATCACGTGTCTGATTGGTGTTTTACTATATCTGAGGTACAAAAGCTGTACTGATATCAAGTATCTGTTGGTGTTTTACTATATCTGAGGTACAATAGCTATACTGATATCACGTGTCTGATTGGTGTTTTATTATATCTGAGGTACACTAGCTATACTGATATCACGTGTCTGATTGGTGATTTACTATATCTGAGGTACACTAGCTATACTGATATCACGTGTCTGATTGGTGTTTACTATATGTGAGGTACAAAAGCTGTACTGATATAACGTGTATGATTGGTGTTTTACTATATCTGAGGTACAATAGCTGTACTGATATCACATGTCTGATTATATGTTACTCTATCTGAGGTACAATAGCTGTACTGATATCACATGTCTGATTGGTGTTTTACTATATCTAAGGTACAATAGCTATACTGATATCACGTGTCTGTTGGTGTTTTACTATATCTGAGGTACAATAGCTATACTGATGTCACATGTCTGATTGGTGATTTACNTAGTTTAGGTCCAAATATAACTGTAACAAATTCTCAGGTCCCTGTGGTTCAGATACCGTGCAAATGCAAAGAAGGGAAAACGAGCGCTGCCAAGTAGTACTGAAGCCTGTCAAAAGAGCGTCCAAGTGATGAGTTGAATCATGATAATGCTTCATCTCACAAAAACAATATTGTACAGACGCTTTTGAAGCAAGAGAACTTAGCACAGATTGAGCACCAGGTCTATGTGACCTGTTTCATTTACCAAATGAAATGCTTTCTGGGAAACGTTATGCCTCTAGTGGTGCTCTGGGAAGTGCAATAGGGGGAGACTACCATCGCGCAGCGTTTACGTCATGGATAGCGTGGTTTCGAAAGTGCGTTTATGCTAAGGGGGATACTTCGAAAGATTGCAATAGAAACATAAAACTATACACTTCACGTGATTTCTGACACGAGTGACGGAATTATTTGAATAGCCCTCGTAACACAAGTCTTAAGATCAAATGTACCATCATCAGTTATAATCGCTTAAAAGAGGCCTTTAAGGTAAAGGTCTCGAGTTCGAACCCTGTAGTTTTCCTACTTTCATTTTCACTTTATTTTTTTTACTTTCAACTTTCAAACAACAATAATTCTGTAAAATCCATTGCAACATGTGCTTTTTATGGACCAATTCTTTTAAAGGACTTAAATATTGCACAATCTGGTAGTGATACAATTTAGCTTAACGTGTTGCTACCATCAATATTATTTCTTTCCCTACAATATCCACAGATTGTATGTTTCTGAGAGCTGTAACGAACTGCTTTCGTTTGCTCTGTGCCTGGCAATCGGGAACCAAGTTGTGGGATGAGCATTATTCATCGGCTTCGGAGACTTTATATTCATGCGACGGGCATCTTGTCCCTGATCATTCCATACATCGCACCTTTCTGTTCAATTTTCCAGAAGTATCAAGTATGTTTCGGATAGGAGAATTACAAATATTCAATAGTTATAATGTAAATATAGCAAAAATCAGCTTTATTGGAATTGAGTCTCTGTGACCTATTTTTTTGCTATAGACCCACATTTTACATTTTTTCAATTTTATCATCAATCCAATATGGGGAAAAAAAGATGCAGGCCTTCAATCGCAGATATGCCATTTTCTCCTCTGTCAAGTGGTGAAACGGTTTAGTTTTTAACTTGACAATTGATGTCGGTATGACCCAAAGGTACCATCATGCAAAAATAAATAATCATTATTGAGGGGTCGTAGTGAACATTTTATGGAATAAATTGGAGAGGAGATTGCACAGTCAACTTAACCCCTATCCCCAAACCACCTCTCTTAGCTTGCCGATTCTCTCACTCAATATCGACATCCGTATGAGACAAATGAGTGACCATGAGAACTCTGTACAGCGAGAAATAACAGCTGTCTTAGCAACAAGAGACGACCAAACGCGTTCCTACCTGATGGTATTCCTGTTTTGAATAACAAGAGGTACCAAGAACTTTCTTACAGTTCACTCTGTGTTGATGGTTGAAGACTTCAAAGTTTAAATGGCTGTATCTAAAATAATGAAATAACATCTGCGAAGTTAAATTTTACCATTCAATTTGAACTGACACTTCTCATTCAGTTTGTTATAGGAATGCGAGGAACTCGTGCATATAGGTGTATCTTACGTCTTAACACATGGTCACACTTTAGGATGAATTCAGCACATTTAATTAATAAATAGTTACAATTTTGTTACATTGCTGGGGAGTCATCTTCGTAGATCAGTTGGGGTTTTACAGATGGTTACATTGGGTGATCCAAAGAACCACTGATGGATATCGTCATACAATCTACGATACCGTGTGTAGACATCGGGCCGGTGCATTCGATTACAAAGCTCACAGAACGAGTAATAAGCATCAGATCGAGGCTGGTAATGTCTTCTCCATTTGAAATACTTTAAATATAATGTTTCGTTTTTGTTGAGGTGATTTAAAAAATGTCCTAGTTGGTCAATGTTTTTGTAATTACTGGTATCTATAAATGACTCCGGCGGTAGATATAAGGAATAATGTCCACCAATACCACGGGTTATGGGAACAGTGTCAAATTCATTTTGAAATATTTTAAAAGTCTTTTCCGTGATGTAATCCCTACATAAGGAGTTTTCAAATGACAAATAAAACTTGTATGGCGTTAGACATCCGTGTTCCTTACCCCTAGCACACCTACTGGTACCACAAACTCCAAATATATCTACAGCATGCGTGTTTCTGAGAGCTGTTACGTACTCCTTTCTTTTGCTCTGTGTCTGACAATGGGAAACAAACCAAGCTGTGGGATGAGCTTTATTCTTCGGCTTAGGAGGCATTGTCGAATTGTGTACAGATGCAAATTTAAATGTTGTGTTTGGTAGCCGCGCTGACGGGTTAGGAACAGTTCGGAACTCTCCGTACATATGAGGAAAATCCGAATCTCTGCGATACGTCATTGTCCAATTAAAAAGTCTCTTCCATTTTTGGATATGATTGTGCTGTGGTGGTGCCTCTTTACCATGAAGAACCCATATTTGTCCTCGTCTCTTCTTCACCGGTTTTGGACCAAGACGTGGGCCGAAGAAAATCACCACATCTTTATCGTAATAGTCCTGACCTCGTCCAACCGACATAGAACAGTTACTTGGACATCCTCGGAACACGTTGTATCTGCTGAACCATTCGGGAGGGTTGTAAAAGTGCATATGAACTTGCCGTGGTTGTGGCATTCCATGGACTGACATCATTTTTGGGAGGACTGACATGCCCTCCGACTCTATAATGATGTATGTTAGTACAGAAGAGGCAATGAAGATCATCAACAAAACCGTAGCCATAACAAACCTGAAAATATAAAGTAAAGACAGATTTTAATATCGTATAACGTAAAGCTATGTTCATTAGTTTCCTATGTCCTTAATATTTTAAGAAAAAAAAAAAATCGCTACTATCGACATGCTACACTATTGTTTCTCCTGATTTAACAGATTGATAGATGGCACAACCTCGGATTTGTCGATTATCATGTATAACTCGAACTCATGATGTGGACCCCTCTGGTTCGTGTTAACGAGGTTTTACCATATACGTGGGAGACTGGATGGATAAGTAAGGTACCAAGGATCTCTACTACTGCACTGCCGTTTTTCCTGTATATGGTAGCCATCCCCCTTTACCGCCGTTTGGATATATCTGTAACACATTTGAGTTTGTAAACTTCCGTTGTCCATGTAGCTCAACCGCTTTCACTGATGGTATCGTAACATCTGAGGTACAGAGTTTGAATCTCGGTTCGGAACCGCAGAATATTTCAAACTCAGAACACGTTTGTCGATTATTTTTTGTCTATTTTATCTCCATTATGCTTGAATACTTGAAACTACATTACACTTAATTGAGGGTCTTATTCTGCTCTTGTAACTATGCCTGGCATTTTTCACCTGTGAGACAGAATACATAAATGTTAGCCTATATCTGCTCGCCAATACTTAACATGATCTTCGACATCAGTATTTTATGGAAATCCTCGTGATATAATTTCATATTTTATACACTATATACAACTGTATAAGATTGGAGAAAAGGGTGTACCCTTCAGATTGAATTTTGTAAAATAGGGTAGTTGATGTGACAATAAGGATTTATAAACAGGTGAATTGTGTTGCTTTTTGATGAAGATCATATAGGGTAACAGGAGACATACTTAATTGTGTTAATACCGATCATATAGAGTAACAAGGTTAAAAGAGACATACTAAGTTGTGTTAATACCTCTCATATCGAGTAAAAAGGTTAAAGGAGATATACTAAGTTGTGTTAATACCGATCATATAGAGTAACAAGGTTTAAGGAGACGTACTTAGCTGTGTTAATACCGATCATATACAGTAACAAGGTTAAAGGAGACATACTAAGTTGTGTTAATACCGACGATATAGAGTAACAAGGTTAAAGGAGATATACTAAGTTGTGTTAATACCGATCATATATAGTAACAAGGTTTAAGGAGACGTACTTAGTTGTGTTAATACCGATCATATACAGTAACAAGGTTTAAGGAGACGTACTTAGTTGTGTTAATACCGATCATACAGAGTAACAAGGTTAAAGGAGAAATACGAAGTTGTGTTAATACCTCTCATACAGAGTAACAAGGTTAAAAGAGAAATACGAAGTTGTGTTAATACCGATCATATACAGTAACAAGGTTTCAGGAGACGTACTTAGTTGGGTTAATACCGATCATACGGAGTAACAAGGTTAAAGTAGACATACTAAGTCGTGCTAATACCGATCATATAAAGTAACAAGGTTAAAGGTGACATACTAAGTGGTGTCAATACCGATCATATACAGTAACAAGGTTAAAGGAGATATACTTAGCTGTGTTAATACCGATCATACGGAGTAACAAGGTTAAAGGAGCCATACTAAGTGGTGTCAATACCGATCATATATAGTAACAAGGTTTAAGGAGACGTACTTAGTTGGGTTAATACCGATCATATAAAGTAACAAGGTTAAAAGTGACATACTTAGTCCTGTCAATACCGATCATACACAGTAACAAGGTTAAAGGAGACAAACTAAGTTGTATTAATACCGATCATACCGAGTAACAAGGTTAAAAGTGACATACTTAGTCCTGTCAATACCGATCATACAGAATAACAAGGTTAAGGGAGACATACTATGTTGTGTTAATACCGATCATATAAAGTAACAAGGTTAAAGGAAACATACTAAATAAAAACATAAAAAAAAATCGTATAATAATGTCGTGAAGGGCTACAATTCCTTCTATCGAAATTACAATTCTCTACCAACTTACCTATCCCTGCAAAATACTAGCGTGTCCATGTTTTCTGTATTGTTATATATGTGGTGTAACTATTCACACTTGGGTGACAATAGCACAGCCTGTTACATCTCTAGCAAAGCATTGATCTCCCTCTGATTTCACATACAGTTTTGATACCTTTTTCACAGGAAACGTGTATGTGTGTACCGACCGTCAATATGACGTGATGACAATATTGTCTTATAAAGGTAGTTAGCCTGTATAAACAAAGCTTGCCTAAACCTATCGATCATTAACATATTGCTAAACATTGTTTTATCTACTGTTGTGATCAAATCTATTTAAAGTCAGGTCCTTGTAATCCAATACACGTTTAAAAATGTAACGACAAGCTCCCCAACGACTCCACAGACAGAATGATTTGTATTTACACAATTTGGTAAAATCATACTGGCTTTTAACACTGACAGATAAAGGACAATGGACAATAGAGCATCTCGTGGTTTGTTTATAACTGACACATTAATGGTCAACAATGAAGGGTACATACGTTATGTGTTGAGTTAATACCGATCATACAGAATAACAAGGTTAAGGGAGACATACTATGTTGTGTTAATACCGATCATACAGAGTAACAAGGGTAAATGAGACATACTAAGTTGTGCTAACAGCGATCATAAAGAGTAACAAGGTTAAGGGAGACATCCGTTGTGGTGTTAATACCGATCATACAGAGTAACAAGGTCAACGGAGACATACTAAGTGTTGTTAATAACAATCATATAAAGTAACAAGGTTAAAGTAGACATACTAAGTCGTGCTAATACCGATCATATAGAGTAACAAGGTTAAAAGACACATACTAAATGGTGTTAATACCAATCATATCGAGTAACAAGGTTAAAGGAGAAATACTAAATGGTGTTAATACCGATCATAGAGAGTTACAAGGTTAAAGGAGGCATTCTAGGTGGTGTTAATACCAATCATATAGAGTAACAAGGTTAAAGGAGACATACTAAGTTGTGTTTATACAGATCATACAGAGTAACAAGGTTAAAGGTGACATACTAAGTGGTGTTAATACCGAGCATACAGAGTAAGAAGGTTAAAGGTGACATACTAAGTTGTGTTTATACCGATCATATAGAGTAACAAGGTTAAAGGAGGCATTTTTGGTGGGGTTAATACCAATCATATAGCGTAACAAGGTTAAAAGATACATACTAAGTTGTGTTAATACCGATCATATAGAGTAACAAGGTTAAAGGAGGCATTTTTGGTGGTGTTAATACCAATCATATAGCGTAACAAGGTTAAAGGATACATACTAAGTTGTGTTAATACCGATCATACAGAGTAACAAGGTTAAAGGTGACATACTAAGTGGTGTTAATACCGATCATACATAGTAGCAAGGTTAAAGGAGACATACTAAGTGGTGTTAATACCGATCATACAGCGTAACAAGGTTAAGGGAACATACTTAATTGTGTTAATACCGATCATACAGAGTAACAAGGTTAAAGGAAACATACTAAGTTGTGTAAATTACAATCATATAGAGTAACAAGATTAAAGTAGACATACTAAGTTGTGTTAATACCGATCATACAGAGTAACAAGGTTAAAGGAGACAAACTAAGTTGTATTAATACCGATCATAGAGAGTTACAAGGATAAAGGTGACATACTAAGTGGTGTTAATACCGATCATACAGAGTAACAAGGATAAAGGTGACATACTAAGTTGTGTTAATACCGAGCATACAGAGTAACAAGGATAAAGGTGACATACTAAGTTGTGTTAATACCGAGTATATAGAGTAACAAGGTTAAAGGTGACATACTAAGTAGTGTTAATACCGAGNACTGATGTCACATGTCTGATTGGTGTTTTACTATATCTGAGGTACACTAACTTTACTGATATCACGTGTCTGATTGGTGTTTTACGATATCTGAGGTACACTACTTATACAACTTACATATGTTATGTGATTTTTAGTTTTATATCTGCCCCGCGCGTATGGAGTTATCAAGTCCCAGTTGATTAACTTATGTTGAACATTTGTATTTTGTAAGTATCAGGATTTTTTTGAAAGATGGTTCCTATTAAACAATAAATTAAACAGCTTAGGTTTTTCAACCGGACAATCTTCAATCTGCAATAAGGACTTACAGGCTTGTGTTCACGGATGTCAACATGACCTGGATTCCATCAATAAGATTCATCAGTTTGGGAAAATATGTGTTTCAACATTTTACTTTTAAACAAACAATATACGTGTTAACATGATGCAACGTTTTAAGACCAACTCGTTTTTTTCTCAGGCATAGACTGAGCTAACGATGTACACCGTTTACCTTTCGTACGATGTTACGATATTATTAACTGTTTAGTCGGTCGTCTAAGGGCACTCCGTCTACCGATATATACGGTGCCTTATGATTACAATCCCTAATACTGGAAACTATACGCAGATGACATATTAGAAATAGCCGAAAAAGATGCAGTGGAGTGTTTAACAGACCAACCCTACTGAGTGGATAAACACACTTAAATAAAATCTACCCACGAGGAGGAGCAAAACGGATCCATAGTGTTTATAACGAAGAGAAAAATGGTACCATCAAACTGTTCATTAAAATCTACACATGCAGAAATCAAGAAATCTGGAGGGGAAAAAACAAAACAGAAAAGGCGAATTCCATTGCTGTGACCACCCACCCGGGCTTGTCTATAAACCAAGTGACGAGGGCAATAAAACAGAGAGCAGAGAGGGGAACAAATCCGAAACAACAATTCAGCCAAACTCAAGATAACGTTCAAAGGCTGGGTCACAATCCCATACGTGAAAAGGATATCTGAAGCACTTCCTCTACTTATGAATAAACACCAGTTCTTCACCCCGAAGAGAACCTTGACGTCAGTCAGACAGGTACATGTGCATCAGAAGGATAAGAATAACGTTCTAGAAACAGTAGTAAGGTATATACCAAATCCATGAACGAACTGTAAGCAATCTTACATAGACAGACACTGGGAGAAACCCACCTCAAAGATCGTTGAAAAGAGGCAGATCAACAACACCAATTTCTGTAGTATTACACGAAAACAATCCATAAAGCAGTGCAACGAATCGGCAATTGCAAATTATATCGTTGATTGAACTAACACAAATCATACAAATTGGTTGGGAAAAACATATCGAAACCAGGCAAAGAGGCAAAACAAATCTGGAGAACACAACGCATACACGAAAACGAAGGGCAACAGCTAAGCCATCCACTCCTGACTATAACGGTACTAATCTCGTAACATCGTACAGCAGGTGAACAGTGAAGCTGTGTAAGCTTAGACGGCCGACTAGCCAGCTAATAGTCTCGTAACATCGTACGACAGGTGAACAGTGACAACGCCCCTTCAATCTAAGCGTGAGAAAAACACCAGTCGGCCTTCAAACGCTGTGACACGTTCACACGTAAATTGTTTGTGTAAAAAGTAGAACATCGGTACATGAGGGGTTTAAGAATGTTTAGTCTGTTGTTGATCTTCTGTGAGCGACATAAGTGGCAGGTGCTACGTACGATATCAGGACTAGTCTAACATGTATTGAATAAAATACGGAAAATCTTCCAGGGCACTGTGTTTCACCACTTTATTCTTCTTCTTTTTTTCTATTCATTATTTTTTGCTGTTTCTTGGTTTCTGTTGTTTCGTCTTCTCGTGTTTACTTCAAATTTGTGTTACTTTGATGTTTGCATTTTTCGTATAATTTATACAGATATATGGGTTAATTTGTTATAATCCATATCTGTTAAAGTCGGCAAGATTGAATGTCGCTCATTTGAGGTGTCAAGGTATAAACATCTATTTATGCATAGAATTAAGAGTGTTTCAGCGTGGAAGGACCGCTAGATGGATCGTGTTATTGTATACAATTAAAACTTTGACAACGCTACCTACACACTTTTTAACTTCACAAACTTGTCAAACTTGGCCTACAATAGATGCCATCACAAGCGAGCTTAGTTGATGTTTTCATAGATATGACTTCATTTTCTAAGTTTTTTTTAATTAACATTATCGAATCCAGTGTTACACCTTCAGGTGGTGTCTAGTTTACGATGTGGCCCTGTATCAAATCAATGCATGTTTACAACAAGTTTGCAAGTGTCCAATCCTTGTGGGCAACTCCAGTGTATGCATCGATATATTTGTTTTGAAAACCAATAATGTCATTTATCTTTAAAATGTAGGGTTGATGTCAGATATGTGTACTACCTAATATACCATGTCTGTCAGCTCTCCAGGTAGTGACGCGTGCTGCGTTCCCACGTTATACAGAATCTCTTTGTGACAGCTACAGGAGTCAGCTACTTTAAATAATCCTGTGATGAATCAGATACTGAGTTAACCTGGTAATATCATGTCGTGTTTTCCTTTGATAAATGTGTACAGATTTGTTTTAAATTTGACATTATTTCCTTTTCAGAATGAAAGAACAATGTTTTCAGACTCGAAGTTAGTAACCGGTTTTGAACATGCCATAACGTTGTTTTTATTTTACAGCTAGTGTTGACTGTTGAAAACGAGATTTTATGTAAGTGTCACTTTTATTTATATATAACGCATTATACTATATTTATACACTATAGCAGTTCGTAAGCTTTGTATGATATATTATACAAAGTAGTGCCCTTTGTTTTGATAGCATCGCAAGAGTATTCACAGCTTTCAGATGTCTTCTCCATTCTATCGTTTTCTGTCTTATACGTACAGCTATATGGTACATATATAGTGATATTATCGTGTCAAAGTTACTGATCAGTTATCATTACTGGATCAAATGTTAAATATAATGATATCTTGGTTACATTTAATACATTTGCGTTTCACCGTCCCTGATGAATATGACACCAACGACGTTCGATCTTTCTTTAGCATATCAGCACTTTCAGTTAACATACAAATGTACTTCGTAGTATCAAACATGCCAATATATGCTTGTTAAAATGGTTCTTGATGCACTTTCCTCCAGAAACTGGTTCACTGTAACAGTATATGCTGTATAAATCCTACAAGTTTTGTTTATGAATCGTTTTGCTTATGTTTCAGTTGGGTGATGATGCGGTGATGCGTTTGGATTGTTATGGTTGACACTTGAATGACTTCCCAATCTTCTGCCTTCGCAATGCACGGATTTCTCTTTCCACTTTTCATAATACCCGTCGTTTGGGCTAAAATTGTGAAGTTAGAGGTGGAAGATTTCAAACTTAAGAAGTTTGAACCTTGGATAT